GGATGATTTTCCCGCAACAGTGTTGGATTCGTGATATTTGTCAACCTATATTGTAATGTTTATAAGTTCAGTTTGTATTGTTTATATAAATTCGCTTTGTATTGTTTATTATTCTTGTTTGTCATTTTTATCTATTATGTTTGTAATCTTTATATGACTATTTTGTATACATTGTAATTTGTACTGTTTGTCGATTCCTTTTGTAATGTTTGTAAGCTTTGTTATTTTATAATGCTTGTCGGTTACTTTTATAATGTTTGTAAGCTTTGTTATTTTTGTGCACCATATTTGTAATGTTTTTTATATCTAAAAAACAATCTGGTTGACTTTTGGATGAAACTCCTCTATATAGGAATGAAGCCTCCAAAGTCAACCCAGGTGTTTTTTCAGTTTGTATGTTTTGTCGAGCTAGTTTGTCATTTTTATCCACCATGTTCGTAATGTTCGCATGTCTAAAAAACAACCGGGTTGACTTTGGAAGGGAGCCCCTCTATATAGGGATGGAGCCTCCAAAGTCAACCCGATTGTTTTTTTTTTGTATTGTTTGTATTGTTTGTCGGTGTAGTTTGTACAGTTCACATGTTTGTAATGTTTGTAAATCTGTTTGTATGTTTTGTCGTTATAATTTGTACTGTTTGTAAGTCTGGTTTGTATATTTCGTAATTTTTCATAATACCCAAATTACCTCTCCCACTAATTAAAAATCTCTTCCCACTTTTTAGTCGTTAGATTGAAGTGTTCAGATCTAATGGCTAGGAGGGGCTTAGTGAAGTGACTAAGGTGGGATCCGCTCTCCATATCCAACGCAGACACTAGGGATGGCAATCAAACCCATGGTCGCGGGTACTTGACCGCCCCCGACCCAGTCAACGCGAGGAATCCCCGCTTTGACCGGGTATGGGGCGGGTATGGGTAAAATCCGCAAAAAGTTTGATGGGTATGGGGCGGGTATGGTTTTAGCCTCCCCCGCCCCATACCCATACCCATACCCGCCCCACCAAGAGAATTTCTTCACGTATAAAAAAATATGTGGATCAAATTGTATCTATCAATGAAGATGAGGATAACTCGAGAAAATAAATAATAGAAATGCAATTGAGTGACCACCCTAATCAAAACATAATTCATTTCCCTCAATTCTTTTTTCACTCTTTCACTTTCACCCTTGTCAACCAGATTATGTTAGTTAATTATTACTTAGTAGATGTATCAAAGTTAGAGCATAATAATTTGAAAATATTGTACTCTATATTATGTATTAATGGATGTTTTAGGATCATATTCTTTGAATCGTATTAAGAAAATGACCGTGTTTTGTTGACTTCATGATATAATAGGTTCGTTTAGAGTTATAGTTAAACATTTTCTTGTAAGTTTTAGGTATAATAATATTGGATGTACGGGGACGAGTATTACCCATGGGTACCCGAAATCCACGGGTATGGGGATGAGTTTGTAAAACATTTCCCCCGCATGAGTATGGGGCGAGTATGAGTTTGAGTATTCGAAGATGGGGATGGAGATGGTTTAGGCAAACCGGCCCCAAACTCGCCCTATTGCCATCCCTAGCAGACACAAGAAAGCTGACGTGGCTCGATCACAACCCTCGACGAATCTGAAAAGAGTAACTGGGTACTGGGAAATCTTGAATCCAATCTTCCCTCTTATCCGATTACCCACTCACAACAATTCACTCTCGCGAAGGGTTTCATATAGCATAAACCCGCCGGAGTAGCACCGCCCGCCGTTCCTTTCGCATTTTGTCGGTAAAACTTAGTTATTCCGACCACCAGAAAAATGAAGCTCCCGTATCCAAACAGGTAAGTCCCAATTTCCGCATTTCCCAAACCAAATTACTCTTCTCCTCTTTAACTATACCCTGATTTCTTCTCCTTCTCGGCTATAGCGGCGGCGGCCCGTCAGTTGCGTGGAGGAGCTCTTCCATCGTATCCGTCCAGCTAGGGTTTTGCTTCTCCAACAATTTCAATGGAGTTTTGATTCCTCCTGTCTCTACACACTACCTGCCCCGCCAGAATTTGCGCATTTCATGCTCCTCCCCATCTTCTTCACCTGGTACATCTCCACCTCCATTCATTGTTTGAATGTTCCGACTCTCATGTTTCCACGCCGTAATTCCTACATATAGCAAGCTTACGAATTGATCATTGCCCGTGGCTACTACTGTTGTTATCTTTTGATTGAACTCGTATTCATTCAGATCCTCTCTTGGTTAAGGCTGCAAGGGGTGAAGCTGTTTCGAGGCCTCCAGCATGGATGATGCGCCAGGCAGGGAGGTATATGGCTGTGTACAGAAAGCTAGCCGAGAAATACCCATCCTTCAGGGAGAGGTCGGAGACAACTGAACTCATTGTGGAAATTTCTTTGCAGCCCTGGGAAGCTTTCCGCCCAGATGGTGTCATTATTTTCTCTGACATACTTACGCCGCTACCGGCATTTGGTGTGTCATTTGACATAGAAGACGTGAGGGGTCCTGTTATTCAGTCTCCGATTCGTTCCGAGGAGCATTTGAAGACCTTGCATCCTATTGAACTTGAGAAGCTACAGTTCGTTGGGGACTCGCTTAGATTACTTCGCAATGAGGTAGCCTAGTGCTTGAGATAGGATATAGGAAGATGATCCACTGAAAAGAACATTACTGGTTTTCTTTCCGGAACCTCATAGATGTGCTATTTTCATCTTAGGTTGAAGGGAAAGCAGCTGTTCTGGGTTTTGTGGGATCACCTTGGACAATTGGTACCTATATAGTGGAAGGGGGTACGACTCGCACGTATACAGCAATAAAGAGCATGTGTCATACAGCACCAGATGTATTGAGGGCTCTCCTCGCTCATTTGACCAAGGCAATCGCTGATTATGCTGTTTATCAAGTGGAATCGGGGGCTCATTGCATTCAGATATTTGATTCTTGGGGTGGCCAACTATCTCCTGCTATGTGGGAGATCTGGTCAAAACCTTTCATCAAAGAGGTTAGCAAATCCATTCTCACCTTGCAATCATGTTGCAGCTCTCCATCAAATGCATCATCAAGTACTGAGCTTTTGGCAACCAACCGTTTTGGACTTTCATCATCATGTTGCATTACATTTTCTGTTGCTCCCTTGTGCTGACTCGTTATATCATGCTCTTGACTTTCTTGGATTATAAAAAACTTAAAAAAGAAAAAAGGGTGCTTGAGGATTATATACCCCATGTTTGATTTTCGACAAAAACATTTTTTTTTTGGCGAGAAGACAAAAACATGTCAGGGTTAGCTTACCTTCTAAAAGCTTGAAAACTAATGAACACCAGTATCTGGATTTTAATTTTGTATCACCTTTGTGAAATTGCAGATAGTCAGTACAGTCAAGAGCAAATGTCCTGGCACACCCCTTGTTCTTTACATCAATGGAAATGGTGGCCTGCTTGAGCGGATGAAAGATATTGGAGTTGATGTGATTGGACTTGACTGGACAGTGGACATGGCAGATGGTAGGAAGCGGCTGGGGAATGGAATGAGCGTTCAAGGAAATGTCGACCCTGCTTACTTATTTTTGCCACTCCCTGCTATTACTGATGAAATTCACAGGTTTGTGATCAATTTGGAAATTAGCTACCATGCTCTAAAGTCTAAACTAGACCTTTTATGTGCTGCTTTATCATTTGATGAGGGTGATGTGTATGATCCTCAGTTTTGGTTGACCGACTCTTCTCTAATTCCAACTATAATGTTCATCATTGCATTTCTCAAGAATTGTAGAAGCTTCACCAGTAGCTGACTGCATTTGATTTCCCACCATGGCTGGCAAAATCAAATGTTCATGAATGATAACTGCTACTAGATGTTTCTTTATCCAATCTAGTTTGGTTCTTGAAATTAATTTTCGACTAGGAGACAACTATGCCCTTTTGCTGCATGTATAATCATATAAAATGCCTGTTTTTTTTTATGAGTCTGACTGATTTATCTTCGTTTGATCAGAGTGGTGAACTGCGCTGGACCAAGAGGGCACATTCTGAACCTAGGACATGGTGTTCTTGTTGGGACGCCTGAAGAAGCCGTTGCACATTTCTTCGATGTTAGTAAAAGCCTCAACTTTTCTGCTCCTGTAGAAGATCGCCGTGTGGCTGCAGCGACCTAGTTAGAGTGCACGAGCTCAAGATCATCCCTGCAAACCTCCTCTCTTCTGTCTATACTGGAACATGCTGTAAGTCATCGCCTTGCTTCTTTAGTTCTTTCATTCTCTCGTTAGGCTCTTGCTCATTTTTTCGTGAAAGTAGAGCGACTATAACTGTGGCCGAGATTACGACCAGCTCTGTGTAATTGCTTCTTTAATTCAGTGTCATATGTAGTTACTGTTGGCTTTTTTGGAGTCGAACATCCCAAAGTTGAACACCATTTTAACCATCCGAATTGATTCTTTTTATCTACTGCCACACTATAGCTCAATGATGGCAACAATACCAGCTCACGTCACGGCATCTCCGTGGCCAACCAATTCCATCAAGAACCCATTTTTTCCTCTTTGGAGAGGTCATCAGCCTTGCAGGGCAAGCAAGTCAGTAAGCACGGAAGTCCACAGAATGGATGGATGATGTGATGAGTTTGTTTTATTCATTTCTTAATAATTAATAAAGCAAGTCAAGCAAAGAGGTAAAAGGAAATAAAGAAATGGAAATCAGCTGCCTCCCATCCCATTTGGTAGACTCACGTTCCCTTCCACTCGCTTATAGACATGGACGGATTATTGTTTTCCAGCGAGAAAATTTTACGTTCGAAATTAATGTTTTCCGGCGAGAAAAATTACCTACTTAATTTATGTCATACTAAATTATTGATTAACGGATCATTTTCGTTTTTACACCCACTTTTATATTATTCCTAAATAAGACAATATTTTTAGTCCCATTGTTACAAATAGACTGTAATCTTGCTACTCTAAACCATTTAATAAATGGATGCAGATTTTCCTAAAGAAGATTTTCTGTTACAACTTACAAGTCTACAATCTAATTCCTAGCTGGAGTCCCATAGATTAGGAAATAATTTCACAAAGACCATAAAAAGCTATTAATTAATTACAATTTTTATCACAAAATCCCACAATCAAGAAACAAATCCACCATCTCTATTATTTGATCAGTCTCCATTTTTTCGGTTATAGCAAAAGATACCCCTGGCCCAGACTGGCAGACTCCACAGATTGTTTCAAAACAGGAAAGTTCTGCTGCCACTTCCTTCCTTCCTTCCTTCTTCCCAAAATCAGCCTCTGTCCGACTGTGAGACTGTGACCCTGACGGCCATTTCCCGCCAATCTGCTAAATGGCAGTGTCACTATATCCGTCTCTACTAGGAAGGAAATCCTTGCCCTCCACGCTTCCACTGAGGACGAGAAGAGAAGAGTCCACTCTTTTGACTGGCCCTCTCTTCCTAACTCGTGGGCTCTCTCCTTTTTCATTCTGTGGTCTACATACTCTGTTCTATAAACACAGACAATGCCGCTCAACCCTCCTCTTCCAAAGTCCCGTAGGTAGAAAACTTACAGAAACCCATTTGCGAGGAAGAGCTCAGCTCAGTCATGGAAAATTTTGATCCAACAAAGCAAGCTTCTCTAGCCTCTCTTCTCTCTACCTACTCATCATCGTCAGGTGGCAATGAGTTGTTTCTTCTGAGACCCATTTTCCTACATGGGCTTTCCGGTTCATTGCACCTGGTTTTGTTGCTCATCTTTTTTCTCTCGTTCCTAAAGAAGAAATTCAGGGTAGGTGATGATGCTAGTGACGGCGCCAAGGAAGGCTCGTCAGGTAAGCACAGAAGGTGTTTGTGCTATAACCTGACCGTGCTCTGTTCCCTTGGCGTTTCGTTGTTCAATCTCACGTTTTGTCTATTCAGCTACTTCTATTGGTATATGAATGGGTGGTCTGATGATGATGAGTTTTGGACCCTATTGGATTTGGTTCTTAGAACTTGTTCTTGGGGTGGGCTTAGTGTTTTTCTGCACACCCAATTTGCAAATACTGCCGAGACTAAGTTCCCATTTCCCTTGAGGGTCTGGTGGGGGTTTTATCTCGGAATCTCCTTTTATTGCCTTGTTGTGGACCTTGTTCTCTACAACAATCTCCAATCCTATTCCCAGATTCCACGTTTGGTTTCTGATGCAGTCTCTGTGGTCGTTGGTCTGTTTCTCTGTTACGTCGGATTCTTCAGAAACACGAGGGAGAAGAATACACTTCTGGGAGAGCCTCTCTTGGGTCAAGAGTCTAGCTTAAAACTTTCCAGAGCGGATGCCACTGCCACTCCTTATTCGGATGCTGGTGTTCTGGGTCTTTTGTCTTTCTCTTGGATGGGTTCTCTGATTGCTCTTGGCAATAAGAAAGCTCTAGACCTTGAGGATGTTCCTCAGCTTTATAAAGATGATAGTGTTGTTCAGGCATTCACATCTCTTAAGCAGAGGATTGAATCGGATGGGGGCTCTGCTAGTGAAGTTACAGCATTCAAGCTTGCAAAGGCTTTGTTCTTTACAGCTTGGAAAGAGATCCTATTGACGGCTTTTCAAGCCCTGTTGTACACAGGAGCATCTTATGTCGGTCCATATCTCATAGATGCTTTTGTTCAATGCCTAAGTGGGCAAGAGGAGTACAGGAATCAAGGATATGTCCTGGCTTCTGTGTTCTTGGTTGGCAAGATTGTCGAGTGCATCACGCAAAGGCTATGGTTCTTTAAGTTGCAACAAATTGGCATGCGGTGGCGCGCAGCAGTAGTTGCAATGATCTACAACAAAGGGTTGACTCTCTCCTGTCAGTCCAAGCAGGGCCAAACTAGTGGAGAAATCATCAACATCATGACAGTGGATGCTCAAAGATTCGGTGACTTCTCTTGGTACATTCATGATACATGGCTGGTTTTTTTACAAGTCGGTCTAGCCTTGTACATACTGTACAGGAATTTGGGGCTTGCTTCTATAGCAACTCTCGTTGCCACTATAATGGTGATGTTGCTGAATTTTCCTTTGGGGAGATTGCAAGAGGGATACCAGGAGAAGCTGATGAAGTCGAAAGACAATAGAATGAAAGCAACATCGGAGATTTTGAGGAACATGAGAATTCTGAAGCTGCAGGCTTGGGAGATGAAGTTTCTGTCCAAGATTATTGAGCTGCGGAAGATAGAGACGATATGGTTGAAAAGCTATGGTTACGCTGCAGCTTTTATTAGCTTTGTTTTCTGGGGTGCCCCTACCTTTGTCTCAGTTGTCACCTTTGGTACATGCTTTCTTTTGGGCATCCCACTGGAGTCTGGGAAAATCTTATCAGCTCTTGCAACCTTTCGGGTTCTTCAAGAACCCATCTACAGTCTTCCTGATACCGTCTCCATAGTGGTTCAGATGAAGGTTTCGCTTGACAGAATTGTAGCTTTCTTGCGTCTCGATGATTTGCCGGATGATGTAGTGAAGAGGATTCCAAGAGAAGCTTCTGAAACTGCTATTGAAGTTGTTAATGGGAGTTTCTCTTGGGATTCATCTTCACCAAACCCCACACTGAGAGATGTAAATCTGAAGGTGTACCGTGGGATGAAGGTTGCTGTTTGTGGTACTGTTGGTTCAGGCAAATCAAGCTTGCTCTCCTGCATTCTGGGAGAGGTTCCGAAGATCTCTGGCACCATCGAGCTGTGTGGGACAAAGGCTTATGTTTCTCAGTCACCTTGGATACAGAGTGGCAAGATTCAGGACAACATTTTGTTTGGCCAAGAGATGGATAGAGAAAAGTACGACCGAGTACTGGAAGCTTGTGCACTGAAGAAGGACATGGAGATGTTTTCATTTGGCGATCAAACAGGAATTGGTGAGAGAGGCATCAATTTGAGTGGAGGACAGAAGCAGAGAATTCAGATTGCTCGTGCCCTCTACCAAGATGCCGACATCTACCTGTTCGATGATCCTTTCAGTGCAGTGGATGCTCATACTGGATCTCATTTGTTTAAGGTGAATTAAGCACGTTTCCCTCTTTTGTTCTTATTCATCTGTTCTTCAATGAGACTTATGTTCTCTCTGTTTGTATTGCAACAGGAAGTCTTGCTGGGTCATCTGAGTTTCAAAACTGTGGTTTATGTCACTCATCAAGTTGAATTCTTACCTGCTGCAGATCTAATTTTGGTGAGTGACAAGCATATCGATGGCATTTTCTCTTTTTGATTTTGTAATGTTTCTTCAAATTATGAATAAAGGGAAGACTCAAATTGCATTTGTAACTTCTGGTTGTAGGTATTGAAAGATGGAAGGATAACACAGGCTGGAAAGTACAGTGACATTCTCAACTCAGGATCTGATTTCATGGAACTTGTTGGTGCACATAAGGCCGCTTTATCTGTGATAGATTCCAAAGCTTCAAAATCTGAGAATGGAAGTATCATCAGTAAAGAAACTGGCAACATGGGCAATAGCAATGGAATTGAGCCGAAAGATGGAGACAAGGTATTGCAAAATGGTAAAGAAGACGAGACAGGCAAGCCACAGGGTCAGCTTGTTCAAGAAGAAGAGAGGGAGAAAGGAAGAGTTGGATTTTCAGTCTACTGGCAGTATCTCACCACAGCATATGGAGGAGCTCTTGCACCACTTGCAGTGCTTGCACATACAATGTTTCAAATCCTCCAGATTAGCAGCAACTATTGGATGGCTTGGGCAACTCCAGTATCAAAGGATGAGGAGCCTCCTGTTCCTCCAATGACACTGATAGCTGTATATGTAGTTTTGGCTGTTGCAAGCTCTCTTTGCATCCTAGGCAGAACCACTCTCCTTGCAACCATAGCTTACAAGACAGCAACCCTGCTCTTCGACAAGATGCATTTGTCCATTTTCCGTGCTCCCATGTCGTTTTTTGACTCGACACCTAGTGGAAGGATACTCAATCGGGTAAATCAGTGACTGCATAACCAAAAACCATGCAATGATTTTGAGCTTTTACCCGAAACTAATTGCTTTATAATGCTTTTTTCACAGGCTTCCACTGATCAAAGTTCTGTGGATCAGCAAATTCCTTACATACTTGGGGCAACTGTCTATTCAATGATCCAGCTTCTGGGAATTATTATAGTGATGTCTCAAGTGGCGTGGCAAGTTCTTATTGTTTTTATTCCAGTTATTGCTATCAGCATCTGGATTCAGGTAGCCTTTATGTTTATCTCTTAAGCATTCTTTCTTGATCGAATTGTGTTAATCTTGTACAAAGTTAAATGTTATATCACTATTTTGCTTATGTGCAGCAATACTACATACCAGCAGCTAGAGAACTTTCGCGGCTGGTTGGAGTATGCAAAGCTCCTGTGATCCAGCATTTTGCTGAAACAATTTCAGGCACAATCACCATAAGGAGCTTTGATCAACAACCAAGATTCAAAGAGACCTCTATGAAACTTACAGATGCATATTCCCGCCCCAAGTTTCATACTGCTGGAGCAACGGAATGGCTTTGCTTTCGTTTGGACTTTTTCTCTTCTATTACGTTTGCCTTCTCTTTGTTTTTCTTGATCTCTTTCCCTGGAATAGATCCATGTAAGTACATTCTCTCTTCATCTTCCCTTTGCTATTATATTTTGTCATAAAAAGCATAACCATTGAAGCTGAGACGTTGCATTGTCTTTTGGTTTTCTCCCCTCCAACAGCCCTTGCTGGCTTAGCGGTGACATATGGACTCAATCTAAACATGATTCAAGCTTCGGTGATATGGAATATGTGTAATCTGGAGAACAAAATCATATCAGTGGAAAGAATTCTTCAGTACATTTCTGTTCCAAGTGAGCCTCCTCTTGTAATAGAAGAGAGCAGACCAGACCCTTCTTGGCCAGCACGTGGAGAAGTCGAGATTGATGGGCTGCAGGTACCATATTTCCCCCTTTTTTCCGCCATTCCTTTCCTCTGCGAAGTTCACCTTCACTCACATTACCAATCATTTGTGAGCACTTTGCAGGTTCGATATGCCCCTCATTTGCCACTTGTGTTGAGAGGTCTTACCTGCACATTTGAAGGAGGAAAGAAAACAGGAATTGTGGGCAGAACGGGAAGTGGTAAATCAACCCTTATACAGACACTTTTCAGGATTGTGGACCCAACAGCTGGGCGGATTACGATCGATGGCCTCGATATCTCATCGATTGGACTCCACGATTTGCGTTCAAGGCTCAGCATCATACCTCAAGATCCAACCATGTTTGAAGGGACTGTAAGAAGCAACCTGGACCCTCTTGAGGAATACTCTGATGAACAGATTTGGGAGGTTAGTTTTTTTACTTCCTTTTCTTGCACTAGTCTGCCCTCATTTGAATGATACTTTCACTGTGACTTCGATGATGCCTTCCTCTCAATCAATCGTCCTTTTCTGTTTGAACTATGGAAAATTTTAGGCTCTGGATAAGTGCCAACTTGGAGATGAAGTTAGGAAGAAGGAGAAAAGGCTGGACTCTGCAGGTTGGTTTTTGTTTGTGTTTGATACAAAAGGTTTTGCTTATTGACACTGTAATTAGTAAAGGTAAAAAAATGATTTCCATTGTTGACTGCAGTGACTGAAAATGGAGAGAACTGGAGTATGGGACAAAGACAGCTAGTATGTCTTGGTCGTGTTCTGTTGAAAAAGAGCAAAGTGTTGGTTCTGGATGAAGCTACTGCCTCAGTAGATACAGCAACCGATAACCTGATTCAGCAGACTCTTAGACAACACTTCTTTGACAGTACGGTTATCACCATCGCCCATCGAATAACATCTGTTCTTGATAGCGACATGGTTCTTCTGCTCAGTCATGGTGAGCATTTTCTGAATTCTAACCCATTTCTCTGGTTAGAAGAAGGATCAGATTGCTGTTGTAATACTGTCATTTCTGTGGCACCAGGGTCGATTGAAGAATATGATACACCAGCAAGATTGTTGGACAACGAGTCGTCCTCATTTGCACAACTTGTTGCCGAGTACAGTGAGAGGTCGAAGGAACAGTATTGAGCCAACCAAAAGCTCCTTAAAAGACCATCCAACTGACATCAGATAGCCAGAAGTTGTGCTGCTGTTTGCTGCCTCTGATGATGATGATGAAAATTTTGGGAATGTTGTATTGATGGAGGGAAGAGTTTTGTGCAGTCAAGTTTAGGCATGAGTTTCTTCCCGCTTAAGTTCCTAAATCTTAAGATGTTGCATGCAGCTTCTATCTGTACCCATACGAAACACTGAATAACATGCTTGGAAGCTATTTTTAGTTATTTCCAATGGTTGTGAAAAATGACATTGTACCGAAAAAGTAACTAAAAAGTTAGTAGTATGATATTTTGTACTAAAATTGTAGTTGAATTGTGGTTTAATAATTTTTAAAGCATTTTTATTTTTTATCCGATCAGTCGGTATGATAAGGTTTCTAAAGCATTTTGACGGGAGGGGTTATGGTGATTACTACAAAATCATCATGGTTACTAAGGGTAAATTGGGTATGGAAAAATAAATTGTATTAATTAGGTTTTTTGATAAATTACATTGCAGTTATAAAAACCTATTAATTACAATTCGGGTTAATTGCATGATTGGTCATTGAAATTACAAAAAACGTTCATGTTTGGTCACTGGAAATATTTAAATCCAATCTTGGTCACTCAAATTAGTTAAATGGTTCAAGTTTGGTCACTCTCCGCCCATTTCCGTTAATTCTAGCTTACGTGGCACTCAACTTTCCTAGTTGACCGTTAAATATGTGACGTGGCAATTAAAAAATTATTAAAAATAAAAAGATAAACTTTTATATTTTCCACCTCATTATTACATTCATTGAAATAAAAAAATAAAAATAAAAAATAAAAAATTAATTTCTTTTCTACACCAACCAACTATACTTCTCAATTAGGAATCGAGCAGAGGGCTCGGGAGTTGCCAACTCTTCTGCGTTCTCGATCGACACAACGGAAGGCATGGCGGAGGCGACCACCGAAGCAGAGTAATGGATCTTTCTTTTCTTCTGCATCCTTGAGTGGCACAGCAGCGGAGTTGGAGAAGAGAATTCCGCCGGTGGCGATTGGGGCAGAGAGAGCAAAATCTTAAAGGGCGATGGCGGCGATGGGGTCGCTTCGAGCGATTGGCGAGCCAGGACTTCACTTCTTCAACCGCTTCGGGGGCCAGTGCCTCACTGGAATTCTCTCCACCAGAATCAATTCGCTCGACGTTCGCACCGAAACCAAAACCAAGGCTCGACGAGCCGCCGCGAGGAATCACTAGGTCGAGGAATTCCTATTCTCCTCCCTAAGCGCCGCTGATAATTCAAGCAACGAACTGAGCCTAGACGTCAGCGACGGGCAGAGCAGAGGAAGAGCTGCAGAGCGAGGGTCGGTGAAGGCAAATGCTTCTTGTTCTCCTTCCTCAGCGCCGCTGAGAAATCCGGCACCGACTGAGCCAAGGCGGCAGCGACGGGGGAGCAGCAGGGTGATGGAATTAAAAAATTTCGTTGAACAAGGGCGATGGAATTTAGGGTGATGGGTTGGTCGAGCAGGAAGAACGATGGAGACCCGACCCACGCCGCCCACCTCGCTGCCGCTGTAATTCCTGACACTGCAAGAGTCGCCGATCGTTTTCTCCTTTTGGATTTGCAGGCGGTGGAGGGTTATGTACTTGTGTTTATAGGAAGGGGGTGAAGACAGGGGAAGGGCGGCCAATTGAGTTGGTCAGGTGGGCATAAGGGGAAAAGTACAGTTGGTTGGTGTAGAAAAGAAATTAATTTTTATTATTTTTTTATTTTTTTTATTTCAATGAATGTAATAATGAGGTGGAAAATATAAAAGTTTATCTTTTTATTTTTAATAATTTTTTAATTGTCACGTCACATATTTAACGGTCAACTAGGAAAGTTGACTGCCACGTAAGCTAGAATTAACGGAAATGGACGGAGAGTGACCAAACTTGAACCATTTAACTAATTTGAGTGACCAAAATTGGATTTAAATATTTCCAGTGACCAAACATGAACGTTTTTTGTAATTTCAGTGACCAATCATGCAATTAACCCATTACAATTCTCTCTCTTTCTCTCACTTCCATAATCTCTAGCCAGATCTCCTTTCCTTATTTTTCTCAATCTTTCTGTATAAAAAAAACAAGAAATCACTACCACTTCGAAAAACACAGTACCATTATAGAAAAAACAAGAAATCGCTACCAATTCATTAGGCAATCACTACCACTTCGAAAAACATCAATACCATTATAGAAAAAAACTAGAAATCACTACCAATCCATTAGCCAACCACTACCACTTCGAAAAACACCAATAACATTATAGAAAAAAAAAAGAAATCACTACCAATCCATTAGACAACCACTACCACTTCGATAAACACCAAAACTACCAATATAAACAATCTATACTATTACACGAATCAGACCAGTACCAAAATAAACCACTACCACTATGAAAGCAAATCAATACCATTTCAAAAAGATATCAATACCATTTCAAAAATGAAGCAATGCCATTAGAGGGTTTGATGGAATCACATCCGTAAAAATAAACCAATACCTTTCCCTAACCACCGCGAAGAAAACAGACAAACCATGGGCAACGTCACCGACACGGCCGACAAGGCCAGTTTCGCACCGTCCACATCGACGACGATGGAGGCGACGGCGACTTGAATCTCTAAGAGAGAAAGAAGCTCGAAGAAATTGAGAGGAGAGGTTATCAATATGCTCGACTGAAAGGAGAGAGGGAGAGTTCGCATATAGAAACTGAGAGGGAGAAGGGCGAAGGGAGAGGGTGTTAATATACTCGACCGATAGGGAGAGGAGAGAGGGGTGAAGATAGGAAGCCACTTCTACTCAAGCACGGGGATGAGTTTAGTGGGAAGAAGAAGGAAAATCGAGTACTACCAAAATGATCTAAGAGCAGGAGCTTGGATGGGACTCTTTCTTAGGGCTTGAAAGCTTCAGTGTTCTAGTGGCTTTTCATCCTTGTTCTTTCGGTCGGTGAGTACGGTATAAGTCCTGGGGCTAGGAAGTAACCGCCTCTTAGAAAAGTTTTCTTACTTTGATATTGATTAGAAATCCGAATCTTATATATAAGTCAAAGTCATGGGCTCACCTTATTATAGAAGTTCTTACTTGGCGAAGAAGATAGCGATGGCGTCGTACCGTTGCTGCAGCGGATCAAAGATTCGCTATCTCAGAACAGACTACTGCTGAAGGACGTGACTAAAAACGCCGGACGAATTTTTTATTTATTTTTTATAATGGTGAGATAATTATTATTAAGACGAAAAAAAGTGAAACAAAACAGAATAGAAAAGAAAGACGAAAGGAGCTATAGGCTCAACAAGATTGAGCCGCCAGCAGGTCAGGAGCAAAATACAGGAAAACTAATGAATAACAAAAGAAAACAGAGGGAAGCCACAAGTAAATGGACCAGACCATTTCTACTGTGTAAGGCATAGGGCAGAGATAAAAGGAAGGCCAACCAAACAAAAATAAAAACGAGGCAGTTCAATTCAGAAACTGGGGACCTTGCGGAAGAATTCAGCTGTCCGAGTAGAGTACTCTTCTAATATGCTCGTTGAGCCATTGGCGTCCCTCTTCTTTGGTGATTTTGATCATCGCCACCGGCCATTCGATCATGGACTTGAAAGCTCTACCGGCGACAGTTATTGGTCCCTGTCTTGAATCCTGGAAAGTTCGTCTGTTTCTCTCATGCCATATTTGCCAACAAACGGCGTGAAGTGCGCAGAAATTAATCCATTCGTCTGGGGTGTCAGGTGCTCTTGATTGCCACTCACTGATTGTAGATATAATGTCTTCTTTTATGTTGTCAATTCTCGGGCAAGCATCTATGCATCATCGCCATACCTCCTTCATAAAATTGCAATGGATGAATATGTGGTCAGCTGATTCCTCATTCTTTTCACAGAGGGCGCATCTATTGGCGATGAACCAACCCTTCTTCTTGAGATTGTTAAGAGTTTGGATCTTCTTCAGCGTGGTCAGCCATAGGAAGATGCAGATTTTGTTCGGGATGACAGATTTCCAGACCGACTTGGCTGGGAAGTTGGAGATGCCTAGGAATCTGCTTTTCATGAGTGTCCTGTACATAGAATGAACAGAGAAAGAATTTTCTAGGTCGGGAAGCCAAACAGGGCGACTAGGCCCGCTTGAGACCCTGTCGTTAGCGTGATTATTAAGAAACTCAAACAAATTAGAGAGTTTGCGCTCAGCTCCCCCTCTCAAAACAATGTTTAAAGGCAAATCCCATCTAATACCTTCTTCATTGAGTGTGAGGACATCACAGATTCGGGCATTGGGAGCGGATGAGGCAGCGGCGACCCGCGGATAGTTGACCGTGAGTGAGGTTTTAGGGGTCCAAATGTCATGCTAGAAAGAGCTCCAAGCTCCGCTACCCGGATCGATGCAAGTCATTTTCCAGAAACTATCGAATTCGTTCAATATATTGGCCCAAGCTGAATTAGTGAAGCCGCTGCTGCATTTTCCGGAATACCATTGAGACTGGGAGTTTGGGTATTTATGACATATTAGCTTCCTCCACCATCTATCATTTTCAGTGGCAAACCTCCAGTGCCATTTGCCCAACATTGCACTATTGAAACATGCCAAATCGGTGATCCCTAACCCACCTTTGGAACAGGGCGCCTTGCACATGTCCCAGCTAACCAGGGGGCTTTGTAGTTCTCCGCCGTGCCACTCCAAATAAATCTGCGTTGAATGACGGTTTTCGGGGCCTTCAGAAGCGAGAAGAGGTATACTGCTTGACTAGACAAGACTGATTTATTGAGGATAACTCTTCCCCCTATTGACAGAAACCTTCTCTTCCATCCTTCCAATCGTTTCTGATACTTGTCAATGATTGAGTCCCAGGTAGAGATTGCATTGAGTTTGGCCCCCAGGGGGAACCCCAAATACTTGGAAGGTTCTGCACTCCATTTGCATCCAAACAAGTTTGCATAGAACTCCGGATTCGGGATGTCGCCGACAGTGTACATGACGGTTTTGTCAAGGTTGATATTAAGCCCTGTAACCGCTTGGAAGAAAACGAGAGTGGCTATGATGTTCAGACCAGGTCATACGCAGCTTCGCAGAAGACGAGGGTATCATCTGCGAATAGTAGGTGTGTAAGTTCACCCCTGTCTTCAGCTTCATTCATGGAGAAACCCTTGATTTTTCCAGCCTCTCGAACTTTGGAGAACATAAAATCCAGAATATCCATGATTAATTAGCACAAAAAGGCCAGAAAAGAGTGGGTCGCCTTGTCAGAGGCCTTTTTGCATAGGGAAGAAACCTTTGGATTCACCATTGATGAGGATAGAGACTATGGGAGA